GCACCGGCCGGGGCAGCCGTGGGGGCCGCCGCTCCTCATCTGGCCGCTGCCGGGCCCAAGTTCCTGAGCCATGAACGCTGCGCAGGGACTGGCTCTTGGAGATGAGAGGGGTGTGCTTGGGGAGGTCCCGAGGGGGCAGGAAGCCGGGCTTCTCCCCTGCGGAAAAGCTGGGGGTGGAATGGAGGAGCTCAGACCCTTGACTGGCCTCTGAGCTGATCCCACCCCTAGTTTTGACTGGAAATGACCAGACCCATGACCTTTTTACTTCGATGTGACCCAGTCACTGATGAGGTCACATTCTGACCTCCGACTCTGCCCTGGACTCTGACACCGTGTGATCTTTCTCTGTAGCATCAATTCCAATCTGACCTTGGGCTCCACCTCTGCTCACCAGGGTATCCTCTTCCTTCCTAACTGATCCCCTCTTACCCCCAACCTCTGACTTTAAACTGTCCCTGTCTGCCTCCTGAAAGACCATGGTCCCTGATCTCTGACCCCAAACATGACTCTGCCCATACCTTTGACCCATCTGACCCTGACCTCTGCTTACAATATGAACCTGAACCTGACCTTTGATGATATATCTTAACATCTGACCACATTCCGACCCCTGATTTAACCCCATCACCAGCCTCTCACTGAAATGTGACCATCGCTGAACATGATGTCACTTTCTCTCTCGGATGCCACATGTGACCTCTCCCTGACCTCTGCAATGACCAATTCCCACCTTGGACTTCAGTCTGTTCCTGTGCCTGCCCTCTGACTACACTGTGGGCCTCTCCCTGACCCCTTGGAGGAAGCCGTCTTCAGCCTCTGACCTCCATCCAACACTTTCAGACACTGACCCCAATGTGATCCCATCTCTGACCCCTGACATAATCCTGCCTTCACATAACCCTGCCTTCCCCACCGATTCCAATCTGACCCTGTGCTTGCCTTTGGCCCTGCCCCTGCTCCCACCCATCAGAACTGGACCAGACAGCAAGCAGGCAGGTTACCTGGAATAGACCTGGGCTGGGGGTGGTGGGAGACGCATTGGCACAGACACAGGTACAGGGCGGCCTTCCTCAATGGCTTGCAGGATGGTGGGCAGGGGCTCCAGGCTGTCACGGGTTGCCTGGTGGGGCATGTAGGGAGGATGCTGAGAAGCTCTCGGGGCCAGAAGCTCCCGGCCCTCTTGCTTCCCTACCCCATGTTCTGGTCTCTAGGCTCAGGACACACCTGGTCAAGTTCAGCAAAGATGGTACAGAGCTGGGCATGCAGGACCGCCAGCTGGAGGGCCAGGTCACTGCTGCCCTGGTAACCACTGGGTGCTGCATCCACATCCACCATGGCCACTTGGTCCAGGAAGCGTTGCATGGCAGGTCCATGATTCTCCAGGAAGCTACTCATAAAGCCCATGTAGGCTTCCTTCTCACCAAACCTGGGTCGGGGTCCAACTGGGTAGGTCAGGTCAGGCATCTGCCACCCCCATGGCCGAACCATACCCCCCACCCCCAGCCTTCCAGCACCTACGGGGCTCGGTTGGCAAGGTTCTGGATGACCTTGGCAATCAATGTGAGGGTGCGGGCCGGGGCAGGTGCCGGGTGCTGTGGTGCCAGGCCAAAGAGGCTGGGTGCCAAGATGGCGGGACACAGGAGCCGCAGGAAGAGAGAGGCACACACCAGCCGGGGGCCCAGTGCCTCGGAGCCTCGTGCCTTGCATGCTTCTCGCCAGCCTGAGAACACGGTGCCAAGCTCTGCTGGGAACCAGCTGGGACAGAATAGGCAATGGTCAAAGGGGGAGTGTATGGGCATAAAGTTCATGGATGATCAAATTCCTAAGGTCAGGGATTAGGAGTCACCTATGTTCTGAGTTCCAAGATTTAGAGACATCCGGGATAATGATGCTTGGGGGTCAGGATTTATGGTAGTGCTATCGTGGTGACTGCTGGAGTCAGCAATCTTGGAGTTGGGGGTAAAGGTTCACATGGGGACAGCTATAACATAACTGTTATCCTGTAGCCAGATCTAGCCAGACAGAGTACATGACATGAATAGAATGGGCTCATGGGGTCACCTAGGTTCAGAAATCATGGTACTGATGTCCCACGTGACATGGGATTAGGTATACAGCTTAGCCTAGAGTCCGAGATCAACAAATTGGAATCCCAGGTTTCCTGTGATCATTTGCATAGGATTTGGGGTACAGTGTCACTTAAGGCCAGGGGTCATGGGATTGAGGGCACGACATCACCTGAAATCAGAGGGCATAGGATTGAGGTCCTATATTAACTGGGGTCAGGTGGCATGGAATTACGGTATGGGGTCCCCTGTGGTTAGAGGACAGGAATTGTATCCCAGGTTACATGGCGTTAAGTGGCAAAATATTGGGGATGAGTTACCAGAGTTAGCAAATAAAAACTACAGGATAACAGTTAAGTTTGAATTTCAAATAATAAAATAATTTTAAAATATAACTATGTCCCAAATATTGAATCACATTTAGCTGGGCACCCTGCTTTTTATCTGGCAACTAGCACAGTGGCTGGGAGGCAGGGGCAGGCTCAGGGCTGGAACCCTGATTCTTACTCATAGGAGTGGATGATGTTCTCGAAGACCTCCTCACAGCTGCTTTGCAGTCTGGCTTGGTGCTGGGGCAGCTCTGAGGCTGGGCACTTGCTGGGGTCCACCTCACAGTCCTCAGTGGAGGCACAGATTCGCCGCAGGACCTGCCCTGCAGTCCAGCACAGCCAGACAGGGGCCAGGGCCATAACCACCAGGACCCACCAACCCAACCTCCAACTCTTCTCCATTTACTTTGGAGGCACCTAACCTCTTGGGGAGTCCCCAGTTCCCTCCAGGATCCCAGCACCTCCGAGGCATCACCCACTACCAGAATCCAGGTTACCCAGGTCCTGCCGGAAGGCTTCTACAGGCCCACCCACAACCCCAGCGCCGGGGATGTTGCTCACCCAGCGTCTCTTGGAGGTAGTCCTGTGCCACCAGCTTCATGTACTCATCGATGGCCTTAGTGGCCAATGTATTTTCCCGGAACAGCAGCGCCTCGCGGCCTCCACTGCGTGCCAACTCCGCAGTTCCCAGGTCTGTCACCAATGCCTGGGCATAGCGGGGGGTCATGTTGCTTGGGTGTAGACTGAACCAGGGGGAGTCCCTGCTCATGGTGAGTCCCTCTCACCTGGGCACAGGTCGCGCCCCTCATAGCTATAGCTCAGGCCTGGCCCTCACTGCTGGGGCACCTAACGGGTGGGAACCTCCACCCCGCAGCAAAAATTTAAGCCTTTCAGCTCAGAGGATCAGCTCAGGCCCCGCCCTTCGCAGCTCAAGTTTAAGCCCCGCCCCTCCAGGTGCCCCACCCTTCGTAGCTGAAGCTCAGACCCCGCCCCTCAAGGTGTCCGCCCCTCGCAGGTGCCACTTGGGCTGGTCACCCAGGTCCGCCCGGTCGCTGCGACGCACCTGCGCCCGGCCAGGGCCCTGCAGCA